TTATTTGTTCATCGTGTTTACTGGAGCATCTAATCTCCCAGTCAAATCCAAATCTCATTAAGTCAATTACCAAGACACCAGGTCAAAGCTTAATGTAGGTCCTTTCCACTGAAACAGAATTCACAGACATAAACAAATACATAGAAAAGGTAAACCTGACAATGAACACAATCCAGCTTGCTACAAAGTAGTTGTCTAACTTTCTTTGCTGTTTTTTCTCTGTAATTTAAAATTGACTCATGTGACAGAAACGTGGTGTTGGTGACTGGAGTCCAGTGAATCAGCTGGGTTGAGCCACAGGGTGTGTGAGAGGAGTAGGGAAATCTGATTTTGGCTTGCCATCATCGCGATTCCCAGGAAAGTTACTGTACCTCAGGCTTCTTGTCTGTGAAATGAGAGAATATTGCCTGGATACCTCACAAGCTGATCATTTCAAGGAAAGGTTAAAAAATAAGGCAACATACAAACCTAAGAAATATGTTTTTGAGGACAGATACTTTATAATGGGTTGATAAACTACACCAGTGGGCCTAGTCCAGCCTGCCATCAGCTCTTGTAAAGTCTTAAAGCACAACCATGCCCATTTGTTTACTATTGTACATGGAGGTTTTTGCACAACGGCAGCAAAACTGAGTAATCAGGGACCGTATGGCACTGAAAGCCTAAAATATTCACTCTCTAGCTCTTTACTAAAAAAACAAAACCAAAAAACAACTCGCCAAGCCCAATCTAAAACATAACTTTGCATTTGATAAATGAATATGTAAAGGCAATTTTAATGAATTATTTTATAGTATTTCTACTGCATGTATCTTCATCTTCCTTCTTCTTTTTTTTTTTTTTGAGATGGAGTCTCGCTGTGTCGCTCAGGCTGCAGTGCAGTGGCGCCATCTGTGGGACTACAGGTGCCCGCCACCATGCCAGGCTAATTTTTTTTTTGTATTTTTAGTAGGGATGGGGTTTCACCATGTTCGCCAGGATGGTCTCCGTCTCCTGACCTCGTGACCCACCTGCCTCGGCCTCCCAAAATGCTGAGATTACAAGCGTGAGTCACCGCACCCAGCCTTCCTTCTAAATGGTCATGACCCCAAAGCTCCTTCCTGGTTATAAAGTGACATGGTAGAGAAATTCCTTTTGGTTTTGTGGCTTTTTAATTTGACTACAGTTCCCTGAAGAGACAATACAATGCTCATTTCATTTTAGGGGTCTCCTCCCCAGAACTGCCCTGTGGAGTGCATTTATTGGAATGGCAAATCTTCCTTTAATTAGAGTGAATGTGAATACGGGAAACATCCACATACATAGACTCAAATGTGAAGAAGAAAAATTGTCCAGTGTGCTTCGACATCTTTGAGGCTTCTAGGCCCCAAAGGAGCCGCGTGAGTTCCCCTGCTCCCTGCCTGGCTTGTTCCCCTGTTGGCTGAACCGGTGTCCCCCATCAATCCTCAACCTCACCTGTCTCCATCTCCTGCCAGCCCATTAAACAAGCCAACCACATCCTCCCACAGGCACCAGAGACCACCATACCCCCTTGTTCCTACAAAGCCTGCCTCCACGCCCCTCTGCTTCACTCTATTCCTGAGTGCACCCCTCGTGTGGCCCTGCCTGGTGCATGGCGTCCTCTTCCCCAGGCCGTGAGTATATGTAACTCATAAACTGCTGTCGATCACATCTGTCCAGCGCAAGGTGTCATGTGTTCAGCTACCTTGTGCTATTTAGGGTGGGGCATTCTTCCTTCACCAACATGGTGAACAATGATAACAGAATGGGGTGCAGCTGGGAGCCACCAGCAGCCAGGTTATGGGTAAATCATTTCATTTTTTTTTTTTGAGACGGAGTCTTGCTCTGTCACCCAGGCTGGAGTACTGTTGCGCAATCTCGGCTCACTGCAACTTCTGCCTCCTGGGTTCAAGTGATTCTCCTGCCTCAGCCTCCCCAGTAGCTAGGATTACAGGCATGCACCACCACTCCTGGCTAATTTTTGTATTTTTAGTAGAGACGGGGTTTCACCATGTTGACCAGGCTGGCTGGTCTCGAACTCCTGACCTCATGATCCACCCACCTTGGCCTCCCAAAGTGCTGGTGTGAGCCAGCACACCCGGCCCTGGGTAGATTATTTCTAAGAAAGGATCTTGGCAAAGCACCACAGTATTCACTGAAGTTAATCCCTTCCACTGCACAGATCACCTTGCTTTTTACGTGAAGTTTGTTTCATTTGAGAAAAGCACTGGGATAATGAGCACCAAAGAGATTCTTCCCTATGCTATATTACGTGGCAGCAGGCCGACCTCACGCTGATAATCAGAGTCAATTTTCCCTGCAGGTTGTGACTTTTTTCTCTTCTGGATGGTTTCCTGCACTAAAAGTGATCAAGCAGCAGCCTTAGCTGAAAGTTCAGTGAGACTCCTGCCCACTGCTGGAAGTAATTTCCTTCTGGAAGTCAGGACTTCTCAACATGTAGAACTTGAAATTGCAGGGACCAGAGCATCAACTCCAAAACTCATGCCAAGAATGTCCTTCCCTCTTCTCTTTCCTTCGGGTCATAATGAGTATCTATTTTTCCAGCATCTTTCTCCCAACCTGTGCTGATTCATCCACCCTCTGTATCCTCCTCCCTGGGACAAAAGGTCAAACTCATCTGCACTCTGAGCAGGAGCTACAGCAGCTGCCACGTAGACTGTCCCCAGCAGAGCTCAGAGATGGGCACCAGGTTCACGACGCCAGTGGGCAGTGGTGCTGTTATTGCATTCAGTGGGGATGGAGTGGTTTCCAGGCACAGACAGACAATCACACAGCAAGAACAAATGTACATGCTGAAATTTAACAAAGACAGAATAAGGGACACTTGGGGAATAGCGGTCTCAATTGCAGAAACAGTGAGTGCCTCAATAGTTAGAGAACTGGGGCCATCTCTGCCATGGCTAGGATTCCTCTCTCCTTCATCCTCCTCAGTCATCAAAGATTCCATTGGGGGTAATCAAAGGATGCTGGGGCCTGCTACTCACTCCCAAAAAAACACCAGCAACCATTTCAGCAGGGAAAAAAGAAAATGCTCACAAGGATGGGGTTAGATTTAGCCATAAACCAGATTGTGTGGCAGGAGGGAGAACACATCCCCCATCTTTTGGCCACTCAGAAATTGGGGGAGCTAATCTGGAGAAAGGCACCAACACCTATTCATTAGTGTTTCAGCCCTGTGTGGTCACGGGTCTGTGTGAGGTCTCAGCAGCCGCCTCTCTCAAGGTCTCCCCACAGGACAGCAGGGTGAAACCTGGGGCAGGAAGACAGGGAAAGCTGATTTGCATAAAGAACTTTTTTTATCCTCTTGGGTCTGGGGAGGCATGAAAAGGCCCTGAGGAAAACAAACTCCAGCTGAGAAGCCTGAGAGCACTTGGCCTTCATAAGTGTCCCCACCATGGCCTGGATGATGCTTCTCCTCGGACTCCTTGCGTATGGCTCAGGTCAGGGCTTGAAGGGACTCTATCCTTGGGGGGACCACAGAAAACAGGGTTCAGGTTACTGTCATCCGCATGACCACAACTGTGTCTCTCTTGTTCATTTTAGGAGTGGATTCTGAGACTGTGGTGACCCAGGAGCCATCGTTGTCAGTGTCCTCTGGAGGAACAGTCACACTCACCTGTGGCCTGAGCTCTGGCTCAGTCTCTACCAGTAACTACCCCAGCTGGTACCAGCAGACCCCAGGCCAGGCTCCACGCACGCTCATCTACAGAACAAACACTCGCCCTTCTGGGGTCCCTGATCGCTTCTCTGGCTCCATCCTTGGGAACAAAGCTGCCCTCACCATCACGGGGGCTCAGGCAGACGATGAATCTGATTATTACTGTATGCTGTACATGGGTAGTGGCATTTCCACGGTGATTTAAACCTATGAGGAAGTGCAACTAAAACCTCTTTATATACTCACAACAGTTCAGCCCTTACAGATGGGAGGGAAAGTGAGAGGATGGAAATGGTCAACACGGTGAGTGAGGAGTCTCCTTGCCCCAGTCTCTGATGCAGGGGTTCACTGCCAGGTGCCTCTCCCAGTCTCTCCCCGGGTGTGTCCACCTCCCCAGTGTGACTTTTCCATGGCTGTGCTTCCTCTCCACTGAGAATAATGTGGGGGGAGAATTATCTACAAAATATATAAGCTCACAGTGAGTCACAGAGACCCCTGTGCTCCAGGAAGACACTTCTGACTCAAAGAGAATTAACAGGCATATGCTCATTCATTAATTTGATCATGGAGGCTGACTTAATATTTTATTTATCACTGAAGTGGGAGCATTTTCAGGGAGCTTGTTAAAAATGCAATTCTCCAACCTAAACCTACTAAGTCAGAAACTTGTGTTGGTGCCAGATAGCCTGTATTTAACACCTGCACATGAGATTTTTCATTAGTGTTAATGTTTGGGAAGAACCTACTTTTATTATTATAAAATTATTCATAGGGATTTCCATTTAAAATGATGTCAGGTTAATATTCCATAATCCTA